TTCCTTTTGTTGATTTCCAGCCTTATGGCACAGTGGTCAGAGAGAGAGGTCTGTATGATATCAATATTCTTAAATTTATGTAGATTCGCCTTATGCCCCAGCATGTGGTCTATATTCTAATATGTGCCATGTGGGCTTGAGAAGAATGTGAATTTTTTTTGGTATTTTGTTGAAAAGCTCTGTAAATACCTATCAGGAGAAATTGTCTAATTTTAGTGTTTAGATCTCTACCCTCCTTGTTGAGTTTCTTTTCCTGTGGTCTATCTTTCTCAGAGAGTGATGTATTGAAGTCACCCACTATAAATATTAAGACTGTGATATCTTTTTTCATCTTTTTGAGTGTTTGGTTGACGTATTCAGCGGGTCTCTCATTCGGGGTATATATGTTTTCAATGCTTAGTGGTTCGTTGTCTACCATTCTCCTGAGCATTATATAGTGTCCCTTCTTATCTCTTTATGATTTGAACTTTGAGGTAAATTTTATCCAAGATTAGGATTGCAACCTCTCCTTTTTTTTAATTGTTGTTTGCTTGATATGCTTTTCTCCTGCCTTTGATTCTCAGCCTACTTTTGTCAGCCTTGAGATGTGTCTTCTGTAGGCAGCAATTGATGGGTTCTGTTTTCTAAGGCATTCTGCTAGTCTCAATCTTTTAATTGCTGAATTCAGACCATTGATATTCAGGGTTATTATCTTCACTGCAGACTGTGATGTCATCTTATATCTTTTGTGTTGGGTGTTTTCCTACTTTCCTTTCTCATTACTGTGTTGTGTGTGTGTGTGTGTGTGTGTGTGTGTGTCATTCTTGACTTCTTTCAATCCTTTAGCCTATGTTATCTTGGGGTCTGTTTTCCCTTTGATGCCCTCTCACTGAGGTTGTTCTATGTGGCAGTTTCTTATTTATACTTGGTGAGTGTTGTTCTTCTGCTCCTACAGGGTCGGCAAGAATCTTTTGTAGGGCTGGGTTTCTTCTAACATATTCTTTGAGATTTCCTTGTCTGGGAAGACTCCTACTTCTCCATCTATCTTGATCAATAGTTTGGATGGATAGAGTATCCTTGGATTTGCATTGTTTTCCTTTAATTTTTGGTATATGTTACTCCACTCTCTCCTCTTCTTCATAGTTTCTGCTGATAGGTCTGAGCATATTCTTGTTTGGGAACCTTTATATGTGACTGCTTGTTTTTCCCTAGGTGCTCTCCTGATTTTCTCCTTTTCCTCAAAGTTGCATAGTTTAACTATTTTGAGCCTTGGTGACTTCTTCTTGGGATTCAGTCTAGCTGGTGTTCTCTCAGCCTCCTGAATAGTTTCCTGGTTTTCATTCATTTAGCTGGGGAAGTTTTCCTCCAAGAACTCTCTTGCCATTGTTCCAGATGACTTCTTTGTTGTGTCTTCCTCTGGTAAGCCAATAATTCTCATGTTGTTCTGCTTCATAGCATCAGACATACCTCTTAAATTTTCTTCAGCTTCTCTGATGATCTTATTAAATTTTTGCTCGCGTTTGTTAAAGTCTGTTTGACTGTCCTCCAAGTCACTGATGCAATTCTCTGCTTCCTCCAATTGATTCTCGAGGTCCGTGTTTCTGCTACTGGATTTTATCTCCTCCATAAGCTCCTTTATTTCCCTTTGATGTATGCCCTTTATCTCCTCTATCATTACATCCTTTTTTGGTATTGTTTCCCTCATATCCTGTATGACTCCAAGTAGCATTCTGAATATTTCTTTCTGTAGAAGCTCAATGTCTGCTTCTTCTATGCATGTCATTATGTTAGGGACATCTTCTGCCATTGCCTTTTTGCTTTTTCGTTGAGGTCTTTGGGGCTGATGCCTGTTTGCATTGCATTGTTTAAGAGGAGCCTGGTGCCATTTTCCAGGGAGTCAAAGAGCACTGGCTCTCTCTGGGAACCTTGTAGGAAGGCTTTTCCGTACTGCCTACAGCTAATTTCACTCTAGAATTTACCTACCACTTTATCTTCCTATGGCTTCCCTCTCAGGGGAGTGTCCCAGAGGCTTGTGGCTTGCCTGCTATGGTGTTGCAGAGGTTGGGCAGAGGTTCCTGCAGCAGTTGATGAGTGCTGGCAGAGCTGCCTTAGAGCCCCAGGCACACACCAGGAATCCCCGGTCAGAAGTTTAGCAGAATATCCCCTGGCAGAGGTCAGTAGGGCTTTTCACAGCCTCGGGTTAGCTACACAGTGGAGCTCACCTAGCTGGGTGTGGTGCAGGCATAAATGCCCTAGGCTAAGGGGAGTAGTCTGAAGCTCAGCTGTGGAGTGTGAGAGAGCAGGAGAGAGACAAAGAGGAGGGGAAAAAAAGTAAAAATTAAGCCCACTGAGACTGTGTGGATATAGTAAAGTGAGGAAAACAAAAGCAACAATATAGCTGAGTCCTCATTCCAGCCCATGAAACTGCAAGGGTTTAGTCCCTGCCCCGAGGTGGTGGTGGCAAGCTGTGGCTGTGTTGAGAGAAAACCCCCTGCCCAGCCCTCCAAGAATCTGGGTGGATAGAGAGAAGAGATGGAAACAAAAGTAAGAATGTAACTGAACCCCGATTAATAACTGTGAGGCTGCAAGTGTCCAGTCCAAGCCCTGAGGCAGGTGGCAGCAAACTGTGGCTGTGTTGAGACCAAGCCCCCCTACGGGCTTCAAATGGTCCTGGCTCTGGCAGAGACATTAGTGGGGTCAAGGTCAAACCAGAGCTGGCCTCCCCTGAGGTAAGCCAAAAGCCCCAGCCCCTCAAAATCCCATGGGTCTGTGCCTACTTATCATTATGATGCTCCTCCTGAGTTTCAGCAGTGTTGAATTTCCCTCTAAGCAACTCTCCTGGGCTGAATTCTGCACAGTCCCTCTGGTATGTGTCACTCCATTGCCATCTTCCCAGAAATGTTAAGTATGCAGTTTATTTTGTTAGGAATGACAAACAGAAATAGAAGGGCATTACCTTCATTGTCAAAAGAATATTTCAAAATCCATCTAAAATTATAATATGCCAATGCTAGAAAAATATTCATATATCTGCTAGGAAGGCTAGTTAATACACATATTATTCAAATTTATACACCAATAAAAACAGCAAATTATGAAGAATTCTATCAACTTCTGCAATCTAAAATTCATTAAACATTGAAACAACATTGATATTTAGTGGTCATGTGAATGTAAAATTTGAAAACAAAGAGGAAAGCTAGGTAGTTATAAAATACGGCCTTAGTGATTCAAACAACATTGGAGATAGCATGATCGAAGGTGACAAGGCAAATAACTTCATTTTAAATATCTTTTTTCAACAAAACAGTGGCTATAGATCTTGCTAGATGTAATGCACAAGAATCAAATTTGCTACATCTGCAGAACAAGACCATGGTGAAGTTCAATATCATCAGACAGAACAAGGTCTAAGACCAACTGTGGGATAGACCATGAATTGCTCTTAGAAAATTTCAGGTGGAAGTTGAAAAAAAAAATCAAATCCATGAGAGTCAAAATATGATCTTGAATGTAAGCAACTCTGGACTTAAAGACCATCTTACGAATATGTTGTGCATTTGACATATTGAACACTAGTGATTCAAGACCAAATTGGTTGTGAGATATCATCAAGAATATAATATTTTAAGAAAGTAAAGCATCATTTAAAAGTATTTTAAAAAACAAAATTACAAAATAGACATTCATAAAATACTGAAACTTATTCTTGAATGTACAGAAGCTAAGATGAATTGAAGAAATGACAAAAAGATATGGATAGACAATTTCAAATAATGACCCAAGAAGACAAAGGATAGTCATGTAATGAAATGTGAAATAAGCCAGTTAGAAAATCAAGAACAAATACGATGCTCCTGACAAAATACACAAAATAATGTGAGATGAGTCATGCTAACCTGATTTCTAAGTAGCATTCTGACTATACTTTTTCCTAGTCAGATTTGTTTATCTTTGTCACTGTCAATATTCTTAGTTAACACAATAACTCAAATGTACTAAATATTCTCTATTCTTCCTTATTCAGGAGCTAACTTTCATATTCATTTGAGGCTATTTGAAATATCAGGGACTGGGCCAGAAAAGTAACAACATTGCTCTTTAACATTTTTTTTTTCAGGGGAGAATGCAAACGCAGCCCCCCACTACCACAATGTATGCAGTCGAGTTTCCCGCATTTGGGAAAATCGCAGGGGTCAGCACATCTAGAGTACAATGAATAAGCCTCACCCTGGGAAAACCACCTTCCTGATCATGGCATCTCCCCTGCCTAGTAAGTATTGCTCTTTAACATTTTCAAGATAGTTTGTTTATTGTTTGTTTAAGAAACTCGCCCCAAACAATATGTCATAGTTTTCCTAATGTAATAAATATAGATACATCATAGTTATAGTAAAAAATAATTGTTGGCATCTCTGCTCTTCCTTGTGTGACAAGCAATCACACCTTTCAATTCCCATGCTATCCCAACTGCATCCTGGGGACAAGATGATGAAGGTTGGATTTGGCCACATTGGGAGCCCTGTCACCAGGGCTGCATTGAACTCTGGCAAAGTGGACATTGTTGCCACAAATGACCCCATTCATTGACCTGAACTACATGGTCTACACGTTCCACTTTTTCCACCCACAGCAAGTTCAATGGCACCATTAAGGCTGAGAGTGGGAAGCATATCATCAATGGGAAGTCCATCTCCATCTTCCAGGAGTGAGATCACGCCCACAACAAGTGGGATGAAGCTCATGCTGAATATGTCATAGAGTCCACTGATGTCTTCAGAACCATAGAGTAGGCTGGGGCTCACTTGAAAGGTGGTGTCCCAAAGATGATCATCTCTGCCACTTTTGCCAATGACCTCAAGTTGGTGAATGAGAACTATGACAACACCCTCAAGTTTGTCAGCAATGCCTCCTGCACCATCAACTATGTGGCCTCCCTGACTAAGGTCATGGCAACTTTGGTCATGGTGGCAACTTTGGCATGCCAACACTGCCACCCAGAAGACTGTAGATAGTCCCTCTGAGAAACTCTGGTGCAACATCCATGGGGTTACCCAGACATTATCCTCACAACTACTGGCACTGCCAAGGTTTTGGCAAGATTATCCCAGAGCTGAATGGTAAACTCACTGGCATGGTCTTCTGTGTCCCTGGCCATAATGTGTTAGTCATGGATCTCACCTGTCCTCTAGAGAAAGCTGCCAACAACGATGGCATCAAGAAGGTGGTGAAGCAGGTATCAGATGGTCTTCAATATTGCATCTTGGGCTACACTGAGGACCAATTTGGCTCCTGTGACTTCAACAGTGGCACCTACTCTTCCACCTTTGGTGCGGGGACTGGCATTTGCCTCAATGACCACTTTGTCAAGCTCATTTACTGGTATGGTAATGAATTTGGCTACAGTAACAGCATGATTGACCTAATGGGCCACATGGCCTGCAAGGGATAAGAGCTTTCCCCCTGGACTACCAGCCCCAGCAATAGTATTAGAAACCGAGAGAGGTCCTCAGCTCCTGGGGTGTCTTTTCCCCAAATCAATCCCCCAACACACTGAGAATATCATATCTTCTCTAGTATCCAGACTTTCCTGAAGAAGGGGAGAAGCTTAAAGAGCCCAACATTGTCAAGTGCCATCAATAAAGCATACTGTATCCAGACCCCCAAATAATTTTTGTTGTTGTAAGGTGCCTTTGAGTCTCTTTTTACTCAGAGACCCTATGCACAATCTAATTACAAATTGTGCAGTCCTGCACCATCCTCATAATTGTTGTTATATTTGAGCCCATTGTTGCATGCACTGGATTAATCCATCTTGTTGCCCCACAAATGTATCAAGGGTGATGTCCTTTTCAAGGGATCAGTCTCTCCTGATAACATGCTCAAAGTACATGAAACATTGTCACACCATCCTGGCTTTAAAGGAGCATTGTGGATGTACAGTTTCAACATCAAGTCTGTTTGTTCTTTTGGCAGTCCTTGGTATGCTCAATATTCTTCACAACACCATAGTTCAATTGCATCAATTATTCTTCTGTCTTCCTTTCATGCATATGAGGCAATTGAAAATACTGTAGCTGGATCAGGAGCACCCTATTCCACAAAGTAATATCCTTGCTTTTCAAAATTTTAAAGAGGTCTCATGCAGCACGCTTATCCAATGCAATGTGTCCTTTGATCTCCTGATGGTTTGCTTCTGGGTGCATTGATTGTAGATCCAAATAATAACATATCCTTGAAAACATCAATTTTTTCTTCATTTATCATCATGTTACCTATTAGTCTAGTTGTGAGGATTTGCTTATATTGAGTTGTAATCCATACTGAAGGCTCCAAACCTTGATCTTCATCATCAAGTGCTTCAGTTCTCTTCACATAAGTAAGCAAGATTACATCATCTGCGGTGAATAAGTTTTTCTCCAATCCTGATACCAAGTTCTTCTTCATATATTTCAGCTTCTCTAATTATTTATTTGCTCAGCAGATAGATTGAGTAAGCATGATAAGAGAATAAAACTCTGATTTATACCTTTCCTGATTTTAAGTCATGCAATATTCCTTTGTTCGATTTACACAACTGCCTCTTGATACATGTCTAGGTTTTACATGACAATCCCTAGTTTACTATGGATCCATAGTTTATTATGAAAGCCTTTACATAGTCATGAAATGCAAATAGACATCAGTCTCATAGTCTCTGCTTTTAGTCAACATACATCTGACATCAACAATGATTTTCCATGTTCTAAATCCTCTCCTGAATCCAACCTGAATTTTTAGCACTCCCTGTCATTGTACTGTCACAGTGTTGGATGATCTTCAGCAAAACTTTACTTGCATATGCTATCAATGATATTATTGTATAGTTTGAGCATTCTGTTGGGTCATTTAGAATGGGTTTATTTAGAATGGGTACATATATGGATCTCTACTTGTCAGTTGGCCAAGTAGTTGTCTTCCACATTTATTAGCCTAGACTTTCAATTCTTCAACAACTTGATTGCTTCCACAGCTTTATCAGCTTGCTGAAACATTTCAAATCCATTCCACAATTTCTGAAGCCATGTTTCTGGCTAATGTTTTCAGGGCAGCTTCCTTCAGTACAATTGGTTCTTTCTCATGTGTTGTCCCCTGAAATGGGAGAAGGTTGACTATTTTTGATACAGTGACTGTGTATTCTTTCCATCTTCTTTTGATGCTTCCTGTATAGTTCAATAATTTGGCTGTCACTAACTTCCCTTGAGTAAAGTCCAACTTATTTTTCCCATATAGGACAGGATAGAAATGTCATTGTGGGTCTCTGAGACTGTAAGTTTGTAGGGAGTAGAACGGTCCATCTTTCTCCTTTGAATCAGTCAATGGTTTTGACTACCAACTGTGAGGCTAGCAGACTAACATGCTACCCACTATGCTACCAGGGCTCGTATTTTGCCCATAAAATCTTTCAATTTTGAAATTAAAGCCTGAATTTTATTCATTAGTTCCTTAATTTTAATATAAGCTGAGAATGTTTTCTCTATTTGGTTTTCTGACTTTAAGATTTTTTCACTTTTTAAAAGATCATTTTATTGGGAACTGTTACAGCCTTTGTGACAATCCATTCATGAATTGTATCAAGCACATTTGTTCATATGTTGCCATCATTATTTTCTAAACATTTACGTTCTATTTGAGCCCTTAGTATCAGCTCCTCTTTTTAACACCCACCTCATTTTTCTTGATTGTGGCATCCCATCAGAGTAAGCCATATGATTTCCTGATTCAAAATGGCCAATACTAACCCATCTTAGCTCACTCATATCTAGCATATCAATCTTTCTGCACTTCATTTTTAATGATTTCCAATTTCCCTACAATCATATATAGTCCATTCTGAGTTCAAATGATTAATTGCCATTTGCAGATGTTTCTTCTCATTTTAAGTCATTTCTCATCAGCAAGTGAAGGTCTCAATGACACATGATGGTCTATAGACTTTATTCCACCCATACAACTCAGTCATATTTTGAGTGCCTTCAAAACAAAGGGGCTCATCTTCTGGCACTATCTGACCATATTCTGCTTCTGTTCATTAGGTTTTCAGCAATTGTCATTTTTTTAATGCTATCCATAGGGTTTTCAGTGGCTAATGCCTCAGAAATGGGCAACCTAGTTCTTTTTTTGTCTTTTTAGTCTGTTTATGGTATGGAAGCTCTGCTGAAACCTCTTCTCTTTGAGTGACATTGCTGCTTTTGAAATATGAGGAACAGCCATCAGCGTCACAGCAACACACCAGCCACCACTATACAACAAATGTATAGACAAGTGGTGGGCAGTAAGAAAGAGGGCATTTACTTCTACTCATCCTCTGAGGTTCATCCATAGAATTCTAGTTCATAAGGAAAGAAATAAAAACCAGCAAACATTGTTTTAAAGTCAGTTGGGACTCAGGGCATATGTTAGAGTGAAAAGTTGAGCTCAACAGTTGCTTCCTCTGTGTAATATTTATGGAAGAATATTATAAGGCCTTTCCATTGTGGTGCCTCTGAACAGTGGTGGGGATTCAGCTATCAACATTTCAGCTGGTACACAAGACCAAACTGTTTGAACTAAGCATATACCTTTCTAATGTTGTTTTTATGTACAATCAAGCCTGTTCTGATTCTCATGGATTATATATGACAAAATAGAACTTCTCCATAGGTTCCCCAGGTTGAAATCTTTATGGGAGAAGATGTCAAAGTGTTTTCTCCTGTGGAGCAACTGATACATTTGAACCATCCACCAACAGCATGGTTGAATAATGAGAACAAACTATTTGCACCACCCAAGGGTTTTTCTGGTTCATAATGGCATTCATTTTCATTAAGGTCTGATTGAAGTGCCATGTAGGAGACAAAATAATTATAGAATAGAGAACCATTTAATATTATTTTTTTACAAATTGGATGTGGAAATGTTGGGCAGTAGATAAGAGTCTTTCCATATTTATTCATGTAGGGATAAAGCAGGGCAGACATAGGATACTCTCTTCGTGGAAAAAAAAGGAAAAGGAGGATGAACTCTTTCTAACAAACTGATGAAAACTACAAACTCTGACATATTTCTTATCGGGGATCTTATTCTCTGTATAAATAAAATATCGCACTTTTCTTGTTTTCAATTTATTTGAAATATCTCTGATATCTCCAGTTTGCCAAATGTTAGCCTATTAAAAATACTTCATATTTGAGTACTTCATAGATCCTGACAGGGAATTTCTTGCAGAATAATCCAGCTAATTAGAATACTGAGGGGGAAAA